AATGAGAATCGCTAGCAGTAAAATTATTGAACATTTATCCGATGACAAAAACGATGACGAAAAAAATTTCCCATTCTCAGTTTATATTTATTATCAATGGTTAGGTAAACAACTACAAGCAGACGTAAGAACCCACACTCCAGAATCTGTTTCTATAAAAACAGATCTCCAAACACTTCTAAAGACTGCAAAAAAAAAAATGATATGATGAGCCAGTTAAAACCAAATTAAAAAATATTAACTGGGCTTGATGTAAAAAAAGCAAAGTAGCACTCAATAACTACAGTGTACCGAAAAACTCATTTCCGCTAACGAAAAGTAAAGACAATAGTACAAAATTCCTCCCCGTTATCTAACCCCAAAGTCTACGTACCCTCCATATATAAATTAAAAAGTTAATCAAACAAAATTTGTGACAGAAGGCAAAACAAAATAAACGAACAGTTTGAGTGTATGTCGTAATTCAGAAGCTCACGCTCAACAGACGATATAGATCGATTGACTGAATTACTAAAACAAGATGAAATAAAACTGCCTGCCAGAACGAACGGTGGAAGGGTCAATTTCTCATGACAAAAAAATTGAATAAAATACTTATTTGGAAGGTAACAAAGTGCACTCACATACTGCAACGACCCATACCGGAAGAACTAATCAGGTACAAAAACAGAGAAGCAAACAATTCTCCTTGGTTTATCCGCGTTATGATTAAAAGTCCGGCAAAAATTAGTAAAAGGAATTCCCATCAACCTTCATTCTCAACAAATCCGTGCTCAAAAAAACTCCAAAATACGATACGATGACTAAACTTAATAATAAAAGTGTGCAAGCGGCTACTAATGATCTTCAACGTCGCACCCTCTACCCAAGCAAATACTGTCAGCAAAAACGTCACCTTTCATCGTCAAAAACTGCTCGATCTTTACCACAATATTAAACTGATAAAAGTAAGCATTATTAATAAAAAACGAGTGATGGTCTCCAGATAATGGTTTTATGTATCCCTGTGAACAGACCATCAGAAGCATGATGAATCCGATTATAAGAGCCGTACTTTCAAACCATATTTAAAAGAACGAATATTTTTATTTCAAGAATTGCAGCAAAATCACAGCCATAAACCTCACAAAAAGGCATTTTATTCTATTCGCCGTCTCCCAAAAAAATTAAACTTGGACACAAAGCTTCCCTGGTACAGAAGAAACCAGTTGTCATTCAAAATACGCTCAAGAAGTAAATACAGCCCCCATATTGCAAATATAGCAGAACGTACTTGAAAACAACAACCGCTGTAAAAGATACTTCTAGCCCATTATGATAACAAACCGCGCTTCAAAAAGAAGTGCGCCGGTAGCTAATTTAATAAGGGGGTCTTCAATCAAAAATGATACCTCGCCTCTCTCAAATGGTCTTTCAACCAAACATGACCAAAACTTCGGAAAAATATCATAAAAACCCTGTCACCCTCATACCGATCAAAATCTCCTCCTTCCCCTTACACAGCCTGTTAAGTAAAAATGAATAAATACTTCATCTGCCAAATAACTGCAAAAATTAAATCAGTACATAGAAGCAGACACTGTGCTACGGTGCTCTAAAAGAATCTACAAGACGAAAAAGAAACAGAACAATCACGCAAAGTTAATTTATGTCATAAATTTCTAACAATTTTTGTAAAAGTACGAAACGCAAAAATCACTTCTTTTTAAAATAAAAAACAAAGAAAGAGGAAAAAAAACAGTGTCACTCCAATACAAATCAGAAAGAAATGATGGTTCTGAAAAAGCAAATCAACACGAAACACAAACCTGCAAAGACAATGTACACAGCTGTAACAAGCAATTACATGCAAATCTCGACCATAACTATTCCCGTCACCAGGCCTTTCTTTATCCGAACAAAACTCTCTCAAAAATACCCTTGCAGTTCATGAAGCCTTAGTTTAAGTTCCTGCGAATACCAACCAGTTACAAACACAGGTGAACTTTCAAGGATCCCCTTCCCCAAATTCTCCAATCTATAATAAAACCTTTACGTCCTTGCATACACACTTACGACAACTTTTAACGAGATTTTCTTCTTTCGGAGACAATAACAATATCAGCTAGCCATTAGATTTCTTATGTGTATCTATTCGTGAATTGAAAAAACTTCTCTCAAAAAATTAACACAAAAATAATAAAGCACAGAGGAATAAAAAAGAGGAATTATAAAGCAATACAAGAAATAACTGAATGTTTTAAAACTTTTTATCTTCAGAGCTTTGATACCCAGAGAGTAAAAAAAAAAATAAACTGCTCTGGTTCTACTTAATATGCAAAAAACTAAAAGTCTCCAACTAATAACATTTTATTTCAACAGAAAAAACAATAACTGTCTGTTCGTTCGATGCAACAAATCCAAAAAAATTCTTTTTAACATTTTTTTTTCTTCCAACAATTTTTCATGCATTGTAACGTTTCACCTCGACATTAACAGGAAGGCCAACGGCGACTTAAAAACCAAAACGTTCGTTGCTCAACAAAATTATAGATTATATTGCTGCACTGGTAAGTATAAA